CAACTCCACTTCAGCTAAAAATAAGTTTCATTCTTCTGCTTTCCAGCAATAGAAGCGCGAATCACGATCGATGAAGATTGCAAAGACTCAGACTTCTATTGACACAGAGATGATGGATTGTTTTTTCTATCCTCACATGATAGAAGAGGATTCATGTGTGTTTATTTGGAAAAGTTGATCTGGGGATTGAGTGTGGGTTAATGAGAGATCAGGGGTCCTTAATCTCCTATGTTGACTAATCATGTTAGGCAAGGCAGATGACTGCACAAGCAACAAATGTTAGAGACCCCTAAGGAGGTTCCTCTGGCATATGCTCTTCGACGCTCAACTTAGTGGCCGGTGGAATCAGTATGAAGAAAAGCATAGGACTAAGTTTATGGTTCAAAGAGTTCAGACCCGAGAACGATGAGAGTAGCCTATGTTTATAAGAGAGATTGAAGGAGAATTGGTAATTTGACTCAGCTAGCGGAAGTGACATTTGGTTTGCACTATACACATGTCAACACTTAGGTGGGCGAGATCGCTAGAGTCGTCCACATCGCATTTAATGTGATAACGATAGAGTGACAAGGTGTAGGCACTGTCTAAGAAGTCATTATTACATCTCATCTGTAGTAAATGCGATACCAACTGTGTGCGGAGTATAGGTGACTTCTCGAAAAGTCTTCATCATGCCTAATCATTCATTAAATGCGGGTGTCGCTGACGAGTGACAAGGCAGTCAGACATCCCTTGGCCTCCTGGCGAATACCTTATGGTGGAGCCCGACCTAGAGAGGTCTTCCTACTCTGACTAGGATTGTTGGAGAAGTTGGATAGTCTAGTATGGCTACAACTATGCTTGGGCTGGGTTCTCCGACATATTGTAGGCGTCAAAAAATGCTTACAGACGTCCAAACACCACCCAAGATAACATAGAAGAACATTATACACTTCATCAAGCAACTACATGGCAGCGCGGCAGGACATGGTGCCGCGGCTAAGGCGCGGCAGGACATGGTGCCGCGGCTGAGGCGCGGCAGACCATGGTGCCGCGGCTAAGGCGCGACAGCCTATGGTGCCGCGGCTTAGCCGCTGCAACCTATGGTGCCGCGGCTATTACAAGAAGATGTTGTGGCAGTTATATGGCAGTTATTCGATGATTATTTGAAGTCCACGTGGCGGCATATCAGAGATAAAACGTGTGCTGACATGGACGAGCAGTTAAACCACGAAAAAGGTGGTTAAAGGTCGTGGGAGAGCGGTTTCAAACACGAATGAACGTGGGTGTAACTGCCCCTTTAGCCGCGGCAGTGTCGACTGCCGCGCCCTTTAGCCGCGGCAGTGTCGACTGCCGCGCTCTTTGGCCGCGACAGTGTCGACTGTCGCGCCCTTTAGCCGCGACAGCATCAACTGCCGCGCCTAAAGAGGCAGTTGTTGATCGGCTATTTCTTCAGTGAGCAGGTTAGAGCAGAGAGCCTTGAGTTTTGGTGAATTAGAGCAAGAGAGAGAGTCTTCCTTCTTCACAAACATCCTCAATAAGCTTTTGACCATTCCTAGAGATCTAAGCTCTGACTTGATCTTTAGAAGAGTGAATATCTTACATCGATAAGATATTCGCTTCAAATTCCTACTTCGATAAACAAAGGAAGAATCATTAAACCCCCTCACGGTTCAATCAGAATCTGTGATTCGGTGGTCCACGAGTCAAAGCGCTCCCGGCACAAGCAAAGATCCCACGCAAGCAGCGATCCAAACAACGATCCTGCGTTTGTTTCTCAAGAGTTGTAATTTTTATTTTGTTGTGTAAAAGAGGTCTTATAAAAAGACTATTTCTTTGAATTTGTTGTAATCGACCGAAGATATAATGAATTCCATAACAAAACCAACTTTTGACGCAAACAAGCTGGCGACCACAGTGGGAGCCAACGGTCTCGCTGCCGAGACCGTCGTGTCGCAGCCGATCAAGATTCCAGTTGAATCCATGGTCGAATACGAATTCGACCAAACCAAGTTTGAGGAATATCTCTCATCATCCTCTTCAAGATCTTCATTGTCTCGCAAGTACAAGAGGATCTCAACATTGAAGAAGACTTCCATGCCAAAGAAGGCACAGAATGAAGACTCTCGCCTGATTGTTGCTGAGGATTTTACTCGCAACATCTCTGCTCACATTGGCTCTTCTCCAATTAAGGAGTCATTAAATTAAAGCCCACCGGCATTGACGAAAAGAGCTCGTCAGAGACAACGCCAACGCCGCGCTCGCCAAATGGCTAAGGCGTTGGAACAAACCGACGGGGTTCGTTATCATGCGGACCTAGAGTCGAGGAGACATCGAGTGGTTCAGTTATCTCAACAACCAATCACTCATATCTCTGCTAAACTCACGACGGAGGAATGGACTATTGTCAAAAGGACTCGTTCGACCCTCAAAGACGACGGAGGAATGGACTATTGTCAAAAGGACTCGTTCGACCCTCAAAGAACGTATACAAAAATGTCGTGTAAACGCTGCAAAGACGAGAAAGGAAGAAGGAAACGGTGGCCAAAGAACCACCGAAACTCCGCCAAGTTTGGATTCCAAAGTCTGAAGTTGTGAAAAATCAGCATTCGGAGCCCGTTAAGACTCCATACCCGCAAGGGGGTGGTTTTAAACGTGCGACTCCCGACATAACCTTGGATCGCTCAAAGACAAAAATAAATTGTCCTGAGAATGTCAACAAGGTTTTACACCCCCAGAAGAAGACGCATTCACCAAATGATATCGTCATACCTGGGAGGTCATGCCAACAGACGATACGATTTTTTGACAATCATATCGATGAATCGTATTATCAAGTTGGGGTTGTGAATAATTTTCGAAAGAGAGTTATTCGAGAAATAAACTCTCATTGTTCCTGTGCGCGACTCGTTAAAGCAGCATTATCAGAATGTGACTGTTTCAAACGAGAAGCCATCCCACGAAGAGTCTCTGTATCGTCGAAGCCTAAGCCGAGACATTTCCGCAAAAGAAAATCAGCTGCACAAGATGATGAATTCCCTGAAGTCACCATCAACGTGGCTGATAAAAGGACATCTAAGCGGCATTCAAATAACTCAAATCCCGACTTTTCCCCGAGAGGAAAAGTCAATCCAAGAATTGCTCAAAGGATGTCTCGACTCCAATTGGGAGCCATCAGACGCAGAGATTATAAAAGAATGCAAGAAGGAATGTTCTCGGATGATGAATTCTCGGACACTTGTTCTGCAATCGCTTCTGATGATACAATGTCTAGCACGGGACAAACCAAAGAAGTATTCACAATCACCTCTGATCAATTTGCTCAAGTGCTTCAAGAAGCTCTAACGAAGCAACGTGAAGAAATTAGAGCTGAGATGAAGACAGAGATGGAGTTAGCTATCCAACAAATGAGAGAATTGCTAACTCAACAACCTCAACCTCCTGAGTCCAGTCAGCAAGCTGAATCCAGCCACCACACTCGGAATGTTGTAGATGACAGTGATCCAAAAGTGGATGAAGTCATTATAGCTGATATACCTCCCAATAGCAATAATGCTGGGGGTGGTTTAGCACATCCTCCCAATAACGATATTGGGGGTGGTTCGATGACACCTTTTGCAGGGGGTGGTCTAACTCATTCTCCTCAACGTCCTTCGAATGAAGACATAGAAGATGACGAGAAAATGAAAGAGCTTGAAAACAAAGTCAATGCTTTGATGACGGCTCAAGAAGTTAAGAAGACGGGTATTCCATGTCCCTATCCAAGGGAATGGAATTCAATACTGTACCCGGCAAAATTCAACATGATTAACTTCACACCATTTGACGGGAAGAACTCGTCTATTCAGCACTTGATTTATTTCAAGTCTCATTTGGGCATGATCTCTGGAAACGAGGCTTTAATGGTCCGGTCATTCGTTGGCACCCTTCGTGGGCCCACCTTCGATTGGTACCGACGTCTCAAGCCAGGGAGCATCAATTGCTGGGATGACATAGAAAGTTTATTCTTCAGTAATTTCTTCGATGATGACACCGAAGTGTCAATCGGGACCCTTCTGGATGAGAAGCAAAAAGACGGAGAGTCGGTCGACAATTTTGTCAAACGCTTCCGTAACAAGACAATGAATTGCAGAGATCCTGTTACAGAGGAGTTCATCCTGCAAACATACCACAATAATCTCTCTATCGATGTCCTGGAAGCCCTGGGGGTCGTGCCATCCAAAACTTGGAAAGATTTGAAAATACGCGGCGAACAAGCTGAACACTTTCTTAAAAGAAAGAAAGTTGAGAGAGGTCAACCGACGACATCCACAATTCCAGTGAACGCGACTCTCGATCTGAGGTTCCAAAAGGAGTATTCTTTCGAAGATGATGAAGCTCTAGCCATATTGGAATACCTCCTCGCCAATGACAAAATTGAGCTACCACCTATTAAAGATCCAAACTACTGTGCATACCACAGAAGGGTTCTTCATCCCACCAATATTTGCTTTGGACTAAAAAACAAGATCCAAGCATTAATTGACTCCGGCGTCATAATGGCGAAACAAGCCGATTAAAGACGACCTTACTCTATTGGATACACGAGTATAAACTGTTTTCCCCTGACTCCGAAGAGTATACGAGTATAAACTGCTCCTCGATACTCCAACAGGTATATGAGTTTAAACTATTTCCTTTCTTTCACGGGAAGTTCCTGGAGAGCGTCATGCATAGTACTCTTAAGGATAACCTGATCATGCAGCTGAATGTAATGATAAACCCAGTTTCATAAGAAAAGCTGGGGGTGGATAGTTCATGTAACGGGAAGTTCTCGGAAGAATGCTATATGTAATTTTCTTAGGGATAACCCGATCATTACAAACAAAGTGATAAACACTACATCCCCACGGTGATTTCTGAAT